GGCTACCATTACTTGTGCTTATTGTGGGTTTAAAAGGGTTTTCCTCAGTGTACCTGCTTTTCTTTTAGTTTTCTGCACACCTGTACTACAGAGTGGTCTATTTTTGTATTATTGTATGATTTCCCAAGTGTAAACAGCTGTTGCTTGTCATACTGCAGGACTCGTGGGGACTGTGGGATTTTCTGTTTTCCTCCTCCAGTCTCAGTATTAAACAGGCTCTGAGCACCTGTGCCTCAGAGATGGTTTTTTTTTTTTTTTCTCTGTGTGTCTGCCCTCTCCTACCCTCTCTGAAGTTTGCCTTATATAGGTAGGATGCTTTGGCAGGAGTAAGTTTTTCTGCTTTTTGTGAATGTAATATCCTTAGGCCAACACTGCCTCCTGCCTCTTGTATAGCTTAAGATTTTATTGTCAGGTGGGTTTTGCTTCTTAGCAGGAATGGCCTGGACAGCAGCAGGTGGGATTTAATGTCTGTATCCAACCAAGGTAGGGCTTACTCATGTTTTCTGTCTGCCCTCAGTCTTTGTTTTTATTTTTATTTTTATTTTAAGAGCTTGTTTTACATTCAACATTACATGTACATTTAGTTTCACTCCCCATTTACCATGTCCAACCCTAACCCAGTCTCCTCCCCTCCTTACCCTTTAACCCTGCCCCGTGCCCCTCATATTTATGCAATTCTGTTTGTCCTGCATTGCCTCAATTTGAATGTTGGTCCTCTGGTACCCCGTGGACTATTGCTCTAAGGGATGTACTACCATAGAGTATGTGGGTGAGTCATCTTGGGTTGAGTGGTCTGTGTGTACATCTTGTTAACTGTTGGGCTGAGAGTCTGCCCCTGGGGTTGCATTTTATTCCAGGTGCAGAATGTATTCCAGGGCCATAGTATTGGGGGTCTCACCAGATTTCAACTGACCAGTAATTCTGGTGATTATTGAGTTTTTGGATTTTGTTCCACTGTTTTCCTCCCACTCTATCCAGGATCTCCAGATTTGATCCTTTCTTGAGTGGTTGGCATTGGAGCCGGGCACCATTTAGTTCTGGTCTCGAAGGCCACCGTGTCCTAGGGCTGATTGCTTCTAAATGCTCTTGTTTTTTTGCACTCCTCACTTCTGATGCTAGGAGACTGTTAGCTGCATCTTAGATGGCTGCTTGCAAGCTTTTAAGACCTCAGTCACTACTCACCAGTGTAGGATGCTGAATAAGGGTTTTATGTATTTTGTTGTGCCAATTGAGTCTGGTGCCCCCTAGCACTATGGTCCTGAGACAGTAGATCTATTGTGTCTCTCTCCCATAGTGTCTAGTTGTCTGTGAGGGACTACTCTGTGTCTGTCTTCTATTGTTTCTGTGAGGACTCCAGGTGTTTGTATCGCTGGTGTCTGTGCAAGATTAGCCTCAGCTGAATATATCCTGGGTCTAGAATATACTTCTGTTCACTGTTCCCTGTCTGATTGTCTCAGGTGTTTATGTGTTTATCTGTAGCCTGGTGTTTGGTGTTAATGGCAATGCAGTATTGTGGACACATTGGTTGGTATTAGCATCTGTTGTCTATCATGTGCACAATTTGGTGTCCTCCCATTTCCTAATGTTATCATGGTGGTCACAGATCCTTTTCCATATATCCCTCCCCACCCGCGTCAGCGTGTGGGCCACAACTAGCCTGAAATCAATCCCTTCCCTTCCCTCCCCATCCTGGTAACCTACAAAGTGAGTTCCCTTTCCCAAGCAAACCATTCTTTTTCTTTTTACAGTAATGGGCTCATATAGTACTTGTCTTTCTGCGATTGACTTATTTCACAGCATAATGTCCTCCAGGTTCATCCACGTTGTGAGATGATTTGCGTATCCCTCATTGTTCTTTAATGTAGCATAGTGTAGTATGTAGCATAATATGGTTAATCTCTGATGGCCTTAGTTTTCTTTTCTGGAAATTAACATAAAATAAATAATTTAACAATATATATCTCATGATTTGTATGTTTTGAGTGATATACATTAAGTAAGCACCAAGCACAACAGATTTTCCTGTTGTTGTTAACTGCTGCCAACTTGGCTTCAACCCATAGCGACTTTATGTGCAACAGAATGACATACTGCCTGGGCCTGTGCCATCCTCACAATCCTTGCTATGCTTGAGCCCATCATTGCAACCACTGTGTCTTTTGATCTTATTGAAGGTTTTCCCCTTCTTCCCTGACCTACCAAGCATGATAGCCTTCTCCAGGGACTGGTCTCTTCTCACAAAATGACCAAAGTAGGTGAGATTAAGTCTGGCTATTCTCACTTCCAAGGAGCATTACGGCTGCACTTTGTCCAGGACAGATTTGTTCTCTCTTCTGGTAATTCATGGTGTTTTCGGTGTTCTTCACCAACACCACAATTCAAAGGTGTTAACTCGTTTTTGGTCTTCCTTACTCATTGTCCAGTTTTCACATGCATATGAGTGATTGAAAATACCATGATTTGTATCAGATGCACCTTAGTCTTCAAAATGACATCATTGTTGCTTAACACTTTAAAGAGGTCTTTTGCAGCAGCTTTTTCTGTGCAATATTATGTCTGATTTACTGTCTGCTGCTTCTATGAGTGTTGATTGTGGATCCAAGAAAACTGAAATCTCTGACAACTTCAATCTTTTCTCCATTTATCATGATGTTGCTTATTGGTCCAGTTGTGAGGATTTTTGTTTTCTTTATGTTGAGGTGTAATCCATACTGAAGACTATAGTCTTTGATCTTCATCAGAAAGTGCTTCAAGTCATCTTCACTTTCAACAAGGAAGGTTGTGTTGTCTGCATATCACAGGTTTTTAATGGTTCCTTCTAACCCTGATACTACATTCTTCTCCATATAGTCCAACGTCTTGGATTATTTTGGATTATTTGCTCAGCATACAGATTTAATAAGTATGGCGAAGGGATTCAACTCTGGCTTACACCCTCCTGATTTTAAACCATGTCGTATCCCCTTGTTCTCTTCGAATGACAGCCTCTTAGTCTCTGTACGTGAGAATGAGCACAATTAAGTGTTCTAAAATTCCCATTCTTCACAGTGTTATCCATAGTTTGTTATGATCCACACAGTTAAATGCCTTTGCATATTCAATAAAACACAGATAGGTATCTTTCTGGTATTCTTTGCTTTCAGCCAAGATCCATCTGAATCAACAGTGATAAGCCCTTTTCTATGTCCTCTTCTGAACCTAGCTTGCAGTTCTGGAAATTCCTTGTGAATATACATACTGCTGCAACTCTCTTTGAATTATTTTCAAGATTTTACTTCCGTGTGATATTAATGATATTATTTGGTAAGTTCCACATTCTGTTGGTTCACCTTTGTTTGCAATGGGCACAAATATTGATCTCTTCCAGTTAGTTGGTCAAATTGTTTGGCATAAACAAGTAAGTGCCTCCAGTTTGCTGAATTGGTTTGTTGAAACATCTCAGTGGGTATTGCATTTAATTCTGGAGGGTTGTTTTTTTTTTTTTTTTTTCCATTTCCTTCAGTGCAGCTTGGAGTTCTTCCTTCAGTACCATTAGTTCTTGATCATATGCCACCTCCTGAAATAGTTGGACAATGACCAATTCTTTTTGATAACAGTTCTTCATAGTAGATCCTTAATACATGAAAGTAATAATGTAAATGTGATTTGTATTAAGTAAAATAAGAAACATTGTTTAGGGAAATGCAAAAGAGCATTTCTTGTTTTGACCTAAGACATTTTTTAGCCTCTTAAACTCTCTCTCATTCATAAAAAGGTAGAGTAAAATGAGCAGTGAAGTTAATTTTGCCAACAGGTATATCATGTTATCTAGAGTCTGGCCAACTATATACTTTATACTGTTAATTTAGTACATATATATGTGTATGTCCTATAGAGCAATGGTTGTCAACTGGGGCAGTTTTGCCCTTCAGGGGACGTTTAACAATGTACATACACATATAAAGTATTGCCTTTATATGGAAATTAATTAATTTCCATGTAAACAGGGATAATTCATTATATGAATTTTTAAAGTTTGTTCTAAGAATGAACAACTGTGTTTACTTGCCATAAATGGTGTTTCTACAACAAAAAAAGAATAACGATTAAGAAAAATATTTTTCTCTTAAAATTTATATTTGGGGTATTTAATTTTCATTGCATCATTCCTCAGCTGAATTTGTGCTATGAATTTAACAAGTTTTATGAAGCATTTTTCTCAGAAATTTTTTGGACATAAATGTATAAATCTCAAGATTATCCTGAAAATTGTGCCCATTTGGCCAAACTGTGGGTAATAGGCTCTGAGACACCTCATTTTCTAGCCCCCCCTTACTGTTGTGATAAGGGATAAAGAAAAGACTAGAAACATTACAATTCAAAAGAAATAAGTATATTTAAGCTCAGTTTGTTCATAGGATTAAATAGTTGACAAGTGGGATTGCCTTTTTTGGTTAGCAGCTGAGCAGATTAACCCTTTATAGCATCCAGGGCCTCTTTAGTAGAAATGGCATATAAAAAGGACAAAAAGCCAGAACAACCAAAATTAAGGAAAAAGAGAAAGGTTAAAAATGCTCAATTTGAGAATTTTTGGAAAGAACAGGTAATGTGTACTATAATTCTGTGGCTAAGCTAGGTTCTGGTTACAAATTCTCTGGGGAGGTTTTCATTTTCCCCCTACCCATGGTTTCTACTTTCACTTTATTTTTTGCCTGTATTATGTTCCTTTTCTTTTATGCTGATTCCTCTATGCATTAAAAATATGTTCTTAATATTCATCATTTTGGTTGTTATATTAGAGTATTGTTTAGGACATCTTGTCTGTGATGGACTGAAAATCTTCATGCCTTTTTTTTTTTTTAAATCTTACAGTGTATTTACCTAAATCCCTAAGGACCCTCTCCGCTTGAAGTTGTTAAAGCTTATGTATTAAGAAACTTTCATTAAGCTTATCAAGAAATTGAAATACTTCAAAAATGATTACTGTACTTGTAAAAAATGCTTGTATATTTATTTTATAGTTACTTGAAGGAAGTTTTGCCAAAGAAGTCAGCCATGAAATGGATGGACTCATTTTTCAGCCTATTGGAGTAAGTTTGTTGGTCTGTTTGTATACACATACATTCATATATATGTATTTTTTTGTATGTGTGTGTATGTTTTCCTCATTTATACTTAGAATTGATTACTGCTGAGATCATGACTTTTTCTTAAAGCAGACTTCTCTTTGTAAAGTATTTCATATAAATATGTATAATACTAAAACAGGGAGCTCTGGTAGCGTAGTGCCTAAGGCACTTGA